TGTAGATAATAAATGGAAGATTTTTATGACCAACAGTTTGTTTTGGTTACTTACGTAAACTGAGGTACTATACTATTACAAATATCAAAGATTAACAAATATATTTTGAAGAAATGTATTTGATGAAAACTGAAGTCAACCTGGTTAGTTCAGACAAAATAACCCTAGTCTTAGATAAGGCATAAAACAACGCAAAAATATTGAACTGGTCCCATTACTTTCTCTCAAAGTATGTAATGTTACCCAACACATATAATATTCATTTAATCTATGTCGACATTATAAACAGAAAATGATTTCTAGAAAAACATTTGATGATAAAATATGACATTTGGTGGGTACAGGAATGCAAATAGCTTTACAGTGGAAAGATACTTAAAGACAGGTAGAGTCCCAAGAACCCATCACTAAAAGAAGACTTAAGCCTTAGTACTTTGAGACTGAAGTGTCTGTTCTTGAAGTTTTCCACTTCCCTAAGACATTTGGCTTTTATTCTCTCCGATTTTAAAAATCGCGATATTATGTTGGTTGTGTGCACGTTCTGAAGATATAAGGTTTAGATGATAGTTTTAATCCTGATAAAGTGATATCTTCACTAGAGGTTTGTTAATCTTCACTGTATTAGGCATATTTTTGTGTATGTTTGTAGTAAATTAATTATATATTTTTTCAAATAAACATCAACATCATTCCAACCACATCAGTAAACATATTAATTAATTGACCTTAGAGTCAAATTAAAGGTATTACACTATATATAACTCAAAGATTTAGTATATGACAACGTCAACATTTATCTGGGAATCTTTTCAAAACCAAAGTGGTTTGACTTTGCTGACTCGGTTTCCAATTCAGTATGTTAGTGTGCTATGTGAGTTTGGTAATATACAACTAATGGTTTTTTTTATTTAAAATTCATAAGCGAACTGTCAAAATGTTATTTTTGATTGATTTTACCCGAAGTAAGAGCTCTATCTAAGATATTCACTTGCACCAATCAAGTTAGTAGCCCTAAAATCCAGTAGTAAAGGCCCAAAATACTTTGTAAATTTTTTAAAAGCTTGTCTTATTGTTCTCAATAAGAACATTTTTGTAGTAAGTTTCAGCAAGAGAAATTAAAATTTCTAAAAGTTAGCTTGAGATATGATTCTCTATATTTTGTATGAATTTAAATATACTTACATACTGTACAAAACCTTTTAATCGTTTGCAAACCTTTAACACTAAATCTGCATACTTTGGTTACATTTGTAGCTTTACGTCTGAAAAAAAAATATTTTTTGCCTGAAAAGTCTAATAGACATCTTATGAGGAAATATCCTCAGAATATTATAATTAAACAAATATTTGATGAAAATCATAACCGGCCCGATGTTTGCTAGTAGGGAATATCATAAAACAATTACTTTACTTGAAATAGTTTTAAAACGTGGTAAAAGTCGGATAGAAAGGACTTATTGTCGCATTGAAGACTTGGGAAAAGCACAAAAGGTTTTGGCTATATTCCAGCTTCTTTTCTTGCATTATCTATGTCGAATATACGGATTATACAGTATTCCCACCGACATTCATATGACGGTATTTTATTCTAGCGTTTTTATCGTCAGTCAACCTGTGTAAAACCATATATATGTAGCTTTCGACTAGGAAAGCATTCCTTATGTTTCTCCCATGACTAGAATCTGACTGAAAAGTTATTTTATCTTAATAAATTATATTTTTTTAAGAATTGTTTTTTGTGTGTTTTAATTAGACTCCTCTAAGATTTTGATGGATTTTTCAATTTTTTTTACGGAGGAGGTTGAAGCTCTGTGATATTTGTGGTGAACTAACTGCTATGGTTCTTAACCTTCTCAATTGCCAATTTCTCATGAAACGTGGATATGACACTCCTAGCTCTTTTATAGTCCCTTCGAGGTTCCCTCGTCGTATCCTGGATTTTCTACGTGTATTATAAATGAGCCTATTAATTCTTGGCGGGTAGTGAGAGCTGTTGCGTTAAAAGTGGTATGAAATAAAATGCCGATAACTGCGTTTATCTTTAGCTTTAGGGCAAGCTAAAGGTATGGCAAGAGCAAATTTATTAATTTGATCACCAGCGGCTAAAGGATGGAGTGAGGTGGTCAAGTGGCTAGGGCGTGGCACTTTGGTGTCTCATGTTACTGGTTCAAATCCCACCAAATCACCAATGGATTTTGTCTAAGTGATAATGCCACAACCCTTACGTATAGCCTGAAGTAATATAAAAAACAATCCCGGGCCCGTGCCTGGTACAAATACAAACGGCTTAAGAATCTGGAATTTTCATATATATGAAAGTAAAATGGACATAGCTTCTACAGCCAAAAGGAGCCTTAGAACAGTATTCTATATTTCAAAGTTTATCAACCACCCACTACTATTGAGAATACTCTAAATAACAGTCTTCCTTTATCCTCGATTATCCATTGGTTGCCTGGCTTCCACGTAAGGTTGAAGAGTATTCAAGCCGGACGTATTAACCTTGTTATAGTTTACATTGGTTAACACTAGTAAATCTCTCGTCGATGAAATTGCCACCAATATTCGCCTTCCTCCTTTAAATGAGAGGAGAAGAGTTCAGTACATAATAATTTTCCTGGTGAACATTTTGAACGGATTATCTAGGTCGTTCAGAACGGTTCAACTTCCTTGCTACATATAATACTAGATCAACCTCTCGATATTTTCGTCACATAAATACAATATTGATATACAACACAATTTTTTCTATTCTTATTGTTACACTACTTATTGTTTGTCGTTGTTATCTTGAGATTATACTTCAATATAAATATAATAAATAAAGGATTTTTATTAAATTGTTATTAACAAATAGTGAAGTATAGTGTAGATTTAGGTAGGCCTACTTCAATAAACCTAATTTCAGTATGAGAAGGTTCTATGAAGTATTTGAGTTAATCTATAAAGTAACACGAAAACTTTTGAATTCACTTTTGATTTAATGTTTATAATGGCAGATGATATGCCTACGTAAAACATGTTTCTTATAACATTAAAGTAAAAATGTTCACTATTCAACCTGAGCACCACTCTTGTTATTCTAAATGCAAATAGAAAAACCTCAATACATCACATAATAAGTTTATTGCAGTACTCAAATACACATTGAGACCTTTTTTAATATCACATCTATAGCGAAAACCAATAAGAGATAAATTACATCTTGAACTCAATAATGCTTATTGGTATCCTGAATTGTCTCAAACCGTAGTTTATTGCGAGAACTGCTGAGCGTGAAGAAAATACTAGGAGGATTGATTGCGACGACTCAAGGAGCAATGAAAATATTTGCAATATCCGGGTGACGATGGGGGAGTGAGAGAGATAGGAAAAGGGGTGAGAGAGATAAGGGAATCAGGGCTGGCAGAGGGAGGGAGAAACGCCTCCCAGTGTACCATTGGTACCAGAATATCTCTTAGGGAAGATACTGTGATGATAAGGGCTTTCAATACTGAAAGGTCGAATAGAAATAGTGTTTTGTAGGATATTTTGTTATTGCACTGAAATAATGTCACCTTAAGAGAATATATATGGTAAAACCATCATTTTATTGCCAATAAAATCCTCTTAAGGATATTGGGTTTTGATAATCCACCGATTTATACAGTTATTTTACTTTGTTTTGAATATCATTATCGTATGGAGAAATGTACTAGTTCTGAAATTTTACTGTTACCATCAATTGAACTAAATAGTTATTACTATAAATAATTTTCTAATAGATTGGTATTTATTTATGTGGTGAGTTATTTTTGAATTGCCTGTCAATTTTCCCACTCTACAACTTAAGTACTGGTTGCAGTTTTAACGATTTATAATTTAAAACATTTATTTCAACGTTAAATTAATGAGAAATCCAATTATACGTTCTACTGTACAGGGTGATTCTAAATTATTACACTTTTGAAACTCTATAAATGAAAAACCATACAACCCATAATAGCAGGGTGAAAATCAATCAAAAGAGGATATTCTAAAGTTTAGTTTGACACCACTTTGGTAAACATAGTTGCAAAATTAACCTCTATAGACATTTTTAGATTTAACTACGATTTTAAATTAATCACACACTTTTACCTCTCTGAGTGTCAGGAATGCATACTCTCTATGTTGAATTGTCAAAAGTTTTAAATACCACTAGTGGTCAAATAGTTCTATAATTTACCACTCAGTTAGTGTTAGTCACCATTATTGTAAGCTGCGAGGAACATGACTTCAAAAGAGCAAAAAGTGTTCAGTGTTTTAGCGTTTATCGATTTTAAAATGTTTAATTAATTGAAAATCGTAGTTAAAATATTAACATTTCTATAGAGGCTAATTTTGCAACTATGTTTACCAAAGTGGTGTCAAATAACACTTTAGAATCTCCTCTTTCAATTGATTTTCATCGCCTGATGATAGGTGTTGTTTTTCATTTATACAGTTTAAAAAGTGTAACAACAATTTAGAACCACCCTGTAGTTTTTTGAATTTTCACACATTAATGTTTTAGCCGTAATTATGAGACCTTAAAAAATCATTACAACATCTTAAAAAGATGTTTTTCGTCCAATCAATTAAAAATTCTAAACAAAGAAAATGTTATTATAAATGTTGTATCATAGGTAGTGTTTACATACTTAGATAATTATCTTTGCCATAGAGATATAAGTTCATACTTCTTGTTTGGACCTGCAACTGGAGTTGAGATAAAAACCACTAAGTTTAGTAATTACATAACGAAAAAAAGTCTATTCATATCACCAAACCTCAAGAGCGTTTCAAAAATGTACAAAAATATACCTACGATATGGTAGTTTTTCATGTGATCAGAATAAAATATATTTTCTTACAATAAACATCGAACACAATAAATTTCGACTAGTAGGTACGATAATTTCCCTCGGCCGTACCATAATTCCCCGCCACCAACGCTGCCGCCCCTGTTCATGCTGACAGTCGCCGCTGAGTCGCGCGCTGAGTGACGCATTATTAGTGACGCTCTGTGACTCGTGTAACACGTCGACTTACGTGACGCTGTCATGTGACTCATGGTGCCTATCCTTCTCATCATCATCGCCCAGGACTTAATTACCACATCAGGTAATATTATTGTGTAACGTCATTTTAAATTAGTTATCAAAAGTAGTAAAACATTATGTTGAATTGGACAAATGCTGGAATTTATTTTTCTTCTGAAGTAGTTGAAATGAGTCAAAATACCATAATTTTCATTTTTTTAATTTATTTTTTGCTGAAATGTACATTGAATAAGACTAACAGTTGAACTTAAATGCATGCAAATTTAGATCTTAGTAAAATAGTTTCCCTATTTTGATTGGATTTATGGATTTGGATTTAGATTTGGTATTTTAGATGAATGTAAAAACATTAACATCACAGGAATCCAGTCATTTCAAACTAAAACTTTCGTTACTACTAAGAGATGAATAACTTGAAGAACATTTAATTTATATTTTAAGTGGTGATGTAGTTTGAATGTTTAAGTCTTTAAAAAGTGTTAATATAAAATTGTGACATAAATTTTCAAAGTTTTGCTTATTTATTATTTAGCTTATAATAACATTGATCTATTATTATAAGTAACTTCAACTGTAGTACTTTAAATCTTGAACCAATTAGGAGAAATATACTAAATTCTTAATCACGTTTCTAATGAACCTACTGGATCGTTTGTAGCATACATGTATTATTATTCCTGTTCTCTGTAAGATAACTCATCTTTATTACTTCAAAAAATATTAAAATAATTTATTTTAAATGAATACACATAAGTTGTACATACAAATTATGGTCAAAAAGTCAAAACATAATTGTTTTTATTAAGTTTTATTAGCAATTTTTCAAGATACACTGGAAAAAGTGTACCTTAATAAGATCCTACATTAATATCATTTCTTGACACAATATTGTAGTAATGCAAAATATTTCACGTGTAAATACAAAATATATTTCTTAAACCATTCAAACAAGTAATACTAAATCACTTTATTAACAGTTACTCCTGTACTTGAGTACATATGGTATATTGTGAGATATGAACACTTCTATTATAAACTTTGAAAAAGTACAATGGTTTACCAAATTTTGCTGACTGCGGGAGTAAAGGTGTAATATGATAAATTACCAACCCACAATAATTTAAACACCAAACGTTGTGGTTCATATTTCATATAAGATGTGTGCCTTTAAGCCAAAGGAAACAAATACATTGTTTGCACTCTTTCCATTGATTTATGGCTAAGTAAATTTCAAGGCACAAGTTAATACCTCATGTTGTTAAAAAGATTTTTCAAAATGAAATTACGGGTTAAGGGATTTTTTATATTATGTTGTTGACTGTGAAACTACCTGTACCGTTAAAAAATAATAGGCATGTGAAAGTGTGAAAACGCATTTTATATTATATTAAATTTATTCTAAAAAAGAATTATCAAGCCTATTAACTGGACATTTTTCAAATAAATTAACTTTAACCGAACTTTAGCTTTTACCATGTACTTTTAGAAATAATTGGCTATTATTTTGATAAGTTTATCTTACAAAATAATATTTTGAAGGTATATATTATTAAAAATACTTTATTGAGATAAAATGTCTCCTTATTCTTTTTATTACAAATAAACAGAACTATAAATGTATATGACGTTTTAATGACTAACATTACTTTACTTACTTTCTAGTTAATAAAGATATACATTTTATTTTTCATACTCTTTAAATTTTTCATTAATATACATTTTGGGTAATTGGACCATCTAATATTCAGGTTAATTGCTAGGCAATGCAATATGTGAAAGCAATACATTGATAGTTTTTAGGTTGAGTTGAAAACTATAATTTCGTACTATAAACTATAAAACTATATATCTAATAGTGATTCGTCTATATCAGACAAGATGGTAGTTACTTTAAACATCTAAAGAGTAATGTTTAGATGAAAATTTTTTTCCTATTTTGCATGTTGTAAAACGGGTGTATTATAATGTTTTGTGAAGGATTACTATAATTAAATCTAGATAAGGCTATGATTACATACTATACTAAAATATTTAAATAAATAGCTAGTGACGTGTTGCTAGTTGTTAGCATCTTGAAATTGTTTCGGTGGTTTTGATCTTTGTTATACGCAAAATAAATAAAAGTCAAGTACTGTGATTAATTTATACGTTTGAAAATCGTTATATAACTTATTTATCGCTGAATAAAATTGTAATATGTCGTTGAACAACAAAGCTTTAAACCGATAATCATAATACAGATTCAATAAATACGATTGGTTATTTGAACCGCATTGACTTCAAACACACAACATAATTTAATGAAATTACAGTGTCAAGCACGCTTTATATAGAATAAATGCGATTCAATATTCATCTGTATTTCCATTTGGTTTATCATGATCAAATAATACAGTTCCAATATTTTTCAAAAGCCGCGAACCTTTTAAATTATATTAGCAGTGAAGAGAAAATATTGAGATTGGTCAAAGCATTAACATTATTAAATTCTCAAAGTAAATATTACACTTTGATGTTTTGACTCAAAATACACGTTTGAATTTAATCTGTTTTTATAAATGCCAAAATCGATTTATTAAAGAATTGTTGTAAAGTTCATTTAAAGATTTTCTAATGTATGCGACAAACACCATTTAGTATAGGTTAATGAATTTAATTTGCAAAAAAAACTCATATCTACAATTAATGGTACTGTTAAATATTTTATAAACATAACAAGAAAATAAACAGGAACAACTGCCTACTCTGTGAGGAATGGTATAATTACCTGTATGAAAACAGACACATGGAACTAGGTTCAAAGAGTAAGAAGAAAATTGCATTTCATCATATATTTTAAATATTGCGATGAACTGATCACATACAATTTATCGCATATATGTGTTGTACTAGAAGAGAAAAAACAGAATTAGTTAAAAAATAAGGAGAAAAATAAATTTTAAGATATCATGTACATTATATTAGCGGTCATTGGGTAGCCAACAATTAAAACAGCTGATTGTTTTAGATAACTAGCAGTGATCTTATTCAATACCACAGATAATGAGTTATCTCCCTTATTTACGAACAGTTTTTTCTTAAATTTGGTAATAATAGAATTGTGTCTACAGGTTTTTCAACAAAATCATTGCTACAGTAATTTTGTTTACCTACTTGTTGTAATGTTAAAGGTGTTTAATGTTTGCCATTTTGAAACTACTTATGATACATTATAATATATTTTTCAAAATAGTACTTTGTATTATTCATACATGCACCAAATTTAAATTCCCTACAAAATGGTGTTACAGTATCTAATAAAAGATAGTTTAGTAAAAAACAAATTGCCACATTACTGGTAATTTTTAAATTTTCAAAATTTTGAAAAATATATTTTAGTTTGTAATTGGTACAGGAATGATACTTTATAAGGTCGGTAGAAAGATCGAGAATACCCTGTATGAATACTAAAATATATGATGAGCGAGGAGGGAAAAAATGAGAAAAGATTCCACTTTTAAAAATGTTTTGATGAATTTGTATTAACATTTAATGGTGTACAACTTTCAATCGGTTTTGCAAAAGTCCTATGATTAGTAAAATCATTTACAATAAAATTAGCAAAGTTTAAATATGAAATTATTATCAAACTATCATGACAGTATACTATTAAGAACTTAAATAATCTTTTTATTGTGACATGACAAATTTTCTTTCCATAAATAATCAAAATACATTTCAATACTTTGACTGATAAAATATAAACCGTCCATACCCGTTGTATGTTGATGAAAATAGTTCATTACACTCATAAAATGTAAAAAAAAAAATACTAAATTAAAGTAATTTACATGGAAAAGTTGAATCGTTCATAGAGTTTGGCTTATGTCCAGTGATGCTTTACCCACTATCTCTAATTGGAAGGTGCGGTAACAGTTGTAATTTTGACATAATCCCCATTTTAATTTAAGCTCCTTAACCCCCGACCAGTATCCATAATGTTTATGAGGTAGGTTGTTTAATATTTCACAATAATGAAATACTCCATAAACCAACCCCTCCATACAATTCAAACAATGTCCTCTGTCCTCAGTTATGTATAATGTATTTTTAACATCCATTACATATAAAAAGTGACTCATTGAAATGGACATGTATTTGAACCTTAAAGTTTAAAAACGGATAAAAGTTTGTGTAAAGCATATGCTTGATAGGCGGAGCCAACTAGTTGGTAATTTTACAAAGATAATTTCACAGGTGAAGTTTTTTTATATTTGAAAACTCTCTCTTTAAAATCTCGTCTTTAAAATTTTGACTGTCAATTAATGATCCTGGCTAAGGAATTGACACAGGTCATTTTAGTTGTTCTATTACTTCGCTCAAATCCAATCTATAGATGTGAACTCGCATCAGCTGACTAAGAGTTTGCTTTATGTTTAAGTTTTTTTTTTTTTTTTGGTTGTCATGGTGTCTACTAATTGGAGTTTGTTTGATGTTTTAAGGGGAGAAAGAACGTTCGTTTTTGTTGCTGTTGAGATTTTCCATATGTAAAATATAAGTTAGTTGTAGAAAGCTCTGAAGAGTTTTATTTTCCCACAATACATAGACCTACAATCGTATACTCAGAGTTCCTGTATTAGTAATAGGAAATAGAAAAAGTATTAAATATATATTATTAAATACGGATGAGTACTTAAATATAGCTTATACATTAAAATAAAGCATTTGGAAAATTGTAAAAAGGTTATTTTGACACTATTTAGTTAGAACTCAATTATTATTGAACAATCGAATGATTACAGTAGTAGGCTATAATTATGGGTAACGCCATTGCATAAAATTGTATAATGGACGTCTCCTGTACTAACCACAAGCAGTTTCGTAGATAAAAATATGATTTTTAGTGGATCCATTAAACGTTTCATAAAAGCATCAAATGCTAATCGGATGAATAATACATTACAGGAACATAGGCCATAAGAAACAACGGAGGTAGCCATTGAAAGATCAAATCTCGGTTCGTTGGTTGACCACATCCGTAGGCCATTATTGGGCCGTTTGCACCATTTACGCGGCTAAGCGGTCGATCCATATCTAGATCCTCATCCAGCTTAAGTGCTAAAACCACATTCCGACCCATATTGGGGAGGAGGGAGCCGGTAACATTGGATATGCCATGATAACCATTTAGACACGGTTTTAAGTACCTTATAAATTTTTTTCAGTTTTAGTTAACAGGGAACTTCTATGTTATTTTTAAACTAACACGTACAAAGTTAATTTTAATTTTAAAATGCAATAAGTGTTGAATCGCTGTTCATACATGTAAAGGTTTAAGAGTTTATCTTTATACTTCAATTTGAAGATCATGAGTTTTAGAGTAGATTAAGAATTAAATTGATCCATCACAGATCGCAGTCTTAAAATACATAAACACTTGTATTCAACTAAACTATTGTACTACTAACGATAGAAAACCTTGATTAAACAAAATTATAAAACCAATTATATAAATAAGTAAAAACTACTTGCAATACTGAAATATTTTTAAATTTTACTCGAATGCTAAACATATCACCCATTTGTATAATTTATTGTAATACTTTCGTTTTATTGTTGTACAATTCATTGTAACCTAATAGCAATTATAATACAAGCCAACGATTTTAATCTAATCTTTATTAAAAATATATCATACCAGCATATGAATTTTTTTCGTAATTTATTACTCAAAGCAAGAACTTAATCATCTAAGTAACTTTACGCACGTCCTGATTCCCGCATCACTTAAAATAATAACATAATTACCATAGTAATTAGTTATTCGTTATACGTTTTATAAGTGTACAAATTCATGTTTAAAAAATACTCAGTACAGTGGAAATAATAAATCGTAAAATACAAAAGTACTTTCTTACGGTGAAATATATACTGTACAATATTGTAATATGTAAAATTTCGGAACATACTTAACTAAGAATGAAAATGAAATTACTATTAATTAATCTTTTATCAAAAAACTGCTTCATTTTTGTATAAGGAACGAGGTATATATTTTATACAACGCGATGTTGAATCATTTTAAATGTGCGAGTTTTAATACAAAAACGACGAGGTTTAATACTTTAAATATATTCATAGTTTCACTCTTAGAACATTTTACCTACATATTTATCTCTCTTTGAAATACACTTTACCAAATACTCAACACTCTGGGTCCTCTTGAAGTTTGCAAAACTCTAAGCTTCCTTGGTTCATTATAAACAAATCATTTATCTCCCAACTTCCAGACCCCACCTGTCACAAACTGTTATCAAGCCTCAGCTTTCCTCTCTGAGATTAAAATTTAGGTAATGTAATTTTAATTTCCTATGTAATTTCATAAAAATAAACATAATATGGCACACCTTTTCTAGCAGACACTTTTAAAAACTTACTTCACAAACCACATCATTTTGCTAAATGAAAATTTAAAAAATAAAACTATAAAAGATAATAGAGGTGCACCTAACACCAACAAATTACCACCAACAAATTGGGTAATTTGTATTTAAAGCACTACTGTATTATAGTACTATAGAACTTTCTTTCTGAATGTATTAACTATAGGTATTACGAAAAATTACAAAAACAATAAACAACAATGGAAATTGTTCCTCTTTGATTAAAACTAAAAGTAAAAGTAAACGTATAAACCAAAAGCTGGAAACTTCTACGTTTAAGCATTCACTCACCTATCAAACTTTTAGGTGTCAATAACAGGTTACTGAACTATTGGATAGCGGTTGTAACGTAATGGATTTTCAAAAACTTTAATGGTATCAAATATCTAGGTTTTTTTACTGTTATTGACAGAATTTTCACTTTTATTTAGGTTCTGCATCAGTGCGAGTGTTACAGTTTAATTTTTACCTAAGGGAAGGTGGTAAACACGCTTCTGGCCCATAACTTCAAAGCTTGACTATTTGAAACCTAATTTTCTTTTATCTTTATTCGTAGGAGTGAGCTGGTCTAGTGGTATAGTGCACTCCAATCACAGAGGTCAAATTCAACCAACCACCGATGAGTTTGATTTATGTGATAGTGCTACAACATCTAGACATGTAATATACAAAGCCTGGAGTAGTATACAAAACAATTCTGGGCTAGAGCATCATCAAAAAAATGTTCAACTTCGCTGATTTTAGTATGAGGTGAAAAATGTTTTTCCTGGTTACATTCACAATTAATTTTCTCTGTCCCAAGGTCGATTCGTGCTTCCTCAGCGTAACGTGTCCGAGTTGTCCGTCCAGGACGACATCCCAGGCTCCTGCTCTACATTCCAGCTAGGGGATCATACTAAGCAGGAGTTGTACTCGCCCAACTACCCTCACAACTACCCCAATCACTCCGACTGTATAAGGATTCTCGAGGGTGAGTGGAAACAATACCTTGCGTGGTCGTAAGCTTTGAAATATATTTTCCAATACGGATTTCCTGTAGCCTCCATTTCCTTTAGTTTGTAAGCATTTCTCGTCCCGTTTTATACATACAAAAATCCCGTTTTTACTATTCTTGTTTCCTATTTACATTTTTGTATCCATCTGATCTTTTATGTATTTTATGAGAGTTTTATTTATTTAGTTAAATTGGGGAATCAGTATTAATATTTTAGTTCTTATGGTTAGTTAAAGGTATATAAAGACTAAATTATTTATATAAGGATTAATATAGTTTTTTTCTAAATATGAACTCGAACGAACGAAGGATTTGTTTATAAAATTGGGTATATCAATTGTAATAAAAAAACGTATCTTACCAAACCAATCAAAGAAGGCAACTTGTAGCGTAGAAAATTAAGACTTAGTTCATATAGATAGTTAAAAAAGTCAACAGTAATTTCCATAACTGTAATAAACGTATTTTTAAAAATAAAATAATTTGGCATTGTCATGATCATCAGGGAACACATGTCTTAAATATAAAATATCATCAAGTTAATTCGGTTTATTAAGTTGCCGTAATAAAGTTTTTATTAGGCTTCAAATTTATCTTTGAACATTGAAATTTCAAATATCTTTTAGTCTGAATTAGGACAGAAGGCATTACATGGGAGGCATTATAAAATATTATAGAAAAGATTACAGTAAGAGTGTTCAAACAATAATTTACGCAACAATATTTCTTTCCTTTTTGATTAAATTTTATTAATTCAGAGCATATTAATAAGTTATATGCGTAGTAATATGTAGTAATAGTAATATGTTTACCTGAAAACCTTAATTATATTAAAAACCAAATCAAGCATTCCTCGAGGCTATAATGTTCAATAGTTCGAAATTACAGCGGTTCAATTTTATGGATGGGTACATGAGTTAATTGATATATCCCCTCCTGTGATGGAGTGGAAGCACACAATGCAATAGTCTGTTGTAAGAATTTGGTAAATAAATATTTAAATCCAGCTTCATGTAAGGGTAAATAAATATGAAAAAAGATGACAAATTGACTTTGTTTATTGGGTCGGAATATCAAACATTGCACATGGCCTCCGGTGTCCAATCAATACTTTCTGAGTGTCCAATTTCGGTACCTATGATCAATCGAGATTACATTCGTTCTGTTTTATTTGCTTTAAGAAAAAAACTAAATGACATTTTCTCCTCCATGTTTAAAGAGATCTATATTATGTTACTGAATATGAATTGCTGCACATTATGGCATTATAATTATAATCAATCAATGATTTCATAACGACCTTAGCAGTTTGGCCGAAAGGTACATGAACATATATTTTCCGATACACAGCAAGAGCTCCCGTTAGTTTTATTTGGGAGTAGTTTATTAGAGGTAAACGTTTATTACGTTTCAGTTATCATATAATATAGAACTTTGTAATGTTAATGTTTGAAATTTACGAAAAATTGGGGTTTGATATCGCGAATCCTTCTAGAACTTATAAATTTACAAAAATCTCGTACCTCCGTCCGTTGAGGGAAAGATTTACAGCCATTCATAAAAAAATTTAAATGGGCAAAAGAACAAACCAGTATCATCTAATACGCAGCATTTAGACTATTCACTGAATGCGTGAACCAACTATTTATAGTGTTTCGTAATCATAAAACATTCATACTAATTATACAAATACTTAATGATTCTGACACAACAATTTCAAACATGATTTACTGTATTTTTGGAAGAATGTTTAGAAGAAAGCTAATATTTATGTTACAAAGCCTCATATATCATACGTGGGATTTGATGAAAGACACTCTTTAAATCAATGACAGATCTATTGTGTGGTATTTCATCTTGGTAGGAACAAGAAGATTAAGCTGTTCTTACTTGAATGAGTCTATTCTACAGATCAAGATTAATGTTGTGACTGTATTTGCTTTCTGTTCTCGTTCGCACACGGGGCTTTTTGTATTTCGTGTATCGGTTTTTATAAGTAATTCGTAAAATTAAAACGGAAGGCACATCACAAATTCATCTTGATAAAGAAAAATGTCGTCCTACTAAAGAATTAGCATGGTGGTACTTTTTTAAGCGATAGACAAATGTTTACCTTTGAGGCTTACCAAATATGGTCAATTGAATAGATTTTGATAAAGTTTACTAGAAAATCTTATTTTACAAGCAAAATATAGAATATAATAAAAAATAAAGTTCAAACGGAAATTGGAAAGTAGTTTGATCTTTTAAGCGTAGTTTCTAAATCAATACTAATTCTACTTATTTACCAAAAACGATACTTGTTTACAGTAGCATTATTGTGACCATACATAGTTTTCCCCTTACTGGTAAACCTCAATTTTATTTCACATTATTTTCTCACGTAATAATAAATGTTATTCCTTTTGCTGAAATTTAAATAATTTGGAGAACAATATTTTTTTTATCGAAATGATTAACGGATTTGAATACCTAGAGCATTTGTCAAGGCCACGTGTTCAATAGTTAGAAATTACAGCGGTTCAATTTCATGGTTGGGTTCGTGAGTTAATTGATTTATCTCCTCCAGTATGTGATGAAGTGGAAGCACTCGATGCAGTAGTTTGTTATGGAAATCGGACTGAAATAAAGTTTGAAATAAAACTGCATGTTAGGGCTAACAAATGAAGAAAGTTGACAGATTGACTATGTTAAATGGGTAGGAAAATCAAACATTGTACTTGGCCTGCGGTGGACAATCAATACCTTTGGAAGAATTCCACTGCATAAAATTGATTGGTTTTGCATTTGTTCTGTTAGGTTCACTTTAATAACATCCAATTAAACTTTCCTACTCCATTTCTAACAAAATTAATTGTTCATTACTGAATATTAATTGCCACAAGCTACAAATTATGGTAATGTTGTTCAATCAATCAAGGTGTGACTTTTTGGCAGATTATTACATGGACATATACTCCGATGGAATGGGAGGATTCCCGTTCACTTACCTTAATACCGGTTACCTTATCACTTAATTGCTTTATAACGATAGTTGTTGCAAGCTCTGGAATATTTTCCCCCATTTTTAGTTTAATGAGGGTTACTAATTGTTATTATATTGAATTGAAACATCATTTCTTTGTGTGTTATGTGAATTAGCCGACCTATTTTTAAATTGTTACGATAAAGATATATTTTAAGCGAGTATTAATACTGTTTCTAGAATCATAAAAAGCAAAAATATTGCTGGTTGGATATTTCTGAGTGATATAATATTTTATTGTTACAAAACCTTATATATCACACGTGGGACTTGATGAAAGTCTTTCTCAAATCAATGACAGATCTATTGTGTGGTATTTCATCTTGGAAGGAACAAGAAGATTAAGCTGTTCATACTTGAATGAGTCTGTTCTACAGATCGAGATTAATGTTGTGTCTGTATTTGCGTTCCCTCTCTTTCGTACATGGGGCTTAGTCGCATCTCGTGTGCAGATTTTCATTAGTAATTCACCACATTCAAGCGGGGTATACAATACAAATATAAGGTATAATAAGGAAATAATATTTTTACCCAACTTGTGAGCAAAGAGGCACATTTAAAATAAGAATTTTTAGTAATTTTGGGCGCCAGGATTGCCAATTATGTCATTTTATCGAATTCAAAATATACACTTTGTGCACGAATTTTTATATTTAATTTTTCAAAAAGTTGTTGTTGCATAAAATATACTACTTAAAAAAATTGTTCTGAAAAACAATAGAACATGGTTCGATTATTAACCAGAGTCTTCCAATTATTAAACTCACTCACAAAAGAAAAGACATCAGTGAAAGTACAGTAAATTGTTGTAGTCATAAATTATGGCACTTCCAATGGTAGGCCTAGAATTTAATTAAGAGTTAGATAACAAAGTAAAGTTCTGATAATTAAGTTACTTTTAAACTAATTTAAGTGAACGAAATATTATTTTGTATGACAAATATAGGATGTTAGAAACACTGCTAGAACAGAAGTGTTTAGTAATTTCATAGGAATGTAAATTGTGTACTTTTTTACATTATTTAATTTTACAAAATCATGTGATAATTTAAAAGCTAAACAAATCTGGTAAGATGAATGTCACAAGGTGTTTTCTACGTTACATATAAAATAGCCGAGAGTATTAACGTGTCAGAGAAATGAATGTGTGGGATCCGTCTATACTAAGAAGGCTTTCCTTCCGACCTTTTATAATCTGACATTGTTTACCTCTACTACCTTGATAGTGCTTTAAATAAGATACATTTAAAAATTTATGCTAGTAAATCTATGTTAATCAATTAGATAATGTATGTACGCTATTGGTAGTAGACAATATTCAGTTTTCTTTAAACTTTTTCAACCACTCACGTAAAATATAAGTATACACAAATAAATTATTTCAGTAGTCCTATCTGAATGTTAATATTGTATTTATATCTACTTTGGTGGTTGCCAATTGTTTTAGAAGTATTCAGGATTTTGTATACTATTTTTTTTACAATGGTTTGTTAGGTTAGGCTAGACAAGATTTGTATTTGGGCTTAGATTTTATTCACAATTCTATATTATGACCCACACACAATTTACTGCGAAGTGCGATTTAGATTTATACGTTTTTTGCTGACACAATTTATTATAATTGTACTCACTAGAGAGTAACACAAACTAGAAATTTTACAAACAAAATTTAAACCATTTCTTAATTTTTTTTATTGCTGAGTAGGTTGAAGGCAAGTTATTAAGTTATTAAGTTGAGTAGGTTGAGTAGGTTATTACAAAGGCTATTTCAGCAAATTAATAAAACAAATCACTTCAATGCAGCAATTATAGTAAAAAAAAAAACTAAACATAAGTTTTGGAAAAGTTTACTTAACGTTGGACCGAATGGATTTCGCCGAGGAACCTTTGGTGGATACAGGAAGTCATGTTATGAATAGGAGCTCATATCTCGGACCACGCCATTCCAACAGATGATGCCATTTGTCACGTATTTGGAGGTAGATGGAAGCCATTATAGTCATAAACACATTCAATGGCTCACTGTCAAAAGCTGTGGCGACAGTTTTACTGCGATATCCTGCCCAATCATCAGTTTTATGAAAGTGCTTACCTCCAAGCCACATTTATCCTATATATTCTCGCTATTTAACTCCTTTTCCTATATTTGATTTTGTTGTATGAATTACATAAACACTAATAAACTTCGCTTCTCAGATTCATTTCAGCTGCGGACTGTGAAAACGTTTTTTTTATTGCAATTTTAGTTATGCTTCGAAAACCATTTATTCCTCAATGTCTTCCCATTCAAACCTGTTTAATATGTAAATAAGCACAAAATGACGGTTAAAGATTTTTTTTAGAAAATTGCAAAATATAACGCATGACTAATAGTAAATAAATTAACAAAATAATGCAACTCTCTTTCTTTATATTTCTATGTTTACAAAACCTTTTTTCCCACTTAAAACGACACTACCACTAGTAATTCTTTCATTCACGAATTCATCAGAAGCGATTAAAATTTCAATAACAAAACATTCAAATACAACTCTTATAACCTTACACATTCCCGTCACCACTACAATCTTTCATATTTATTTACCGTCTTGTTAACATTCCGTAGATTTTAAATAAAAATTAATTAATAATGTTATTGGATTCAAAACGTTCCGCTGCAACTAAAACGAACGTTGTGTGAATGTGAACTCTAGAGCAAATTATTTATATCCCTATTATGTATACATCTAGTCTTTTAGTAAAGATAACATTAAAAGCTAATAATATCTTAAAATATTTTTAATTGAAAAATTATACTTGTTATTTTAAATCATTTATTCAAATGAAGATACAATTAAAACTTATTTAGGTTCATAATTTCTCAATCTATTAAACAATAAAAAACGCCTTCTACTAAAGAGCCAAAGACTGTGGAATATCCTTGCTGAATATTAAAACTCATCATATTAGGATAAAGCAGATGAATAAAATCCTCCAGTCACTGAACCAAAGAGTAAACAGGGAATTCGCCTTAGAGTTGTGTCTAAGAAGCTCATTCGTCTGTCTAGATTAACGTCTGCTTCCATCTCCGCTTGAGGTCTTTACATTACTACGGTCCTCAAAACACTAATTTAATTTAAATGCAAAGTTCTGATTTAATTTCCTGTTAGAGTCCAAGTAAATTAAACGCTAGAAAGTAATGAATAAAATCAGTCTTCATGTAATCATAGTGAGGGGTTGTTTCTCTTTAATTATTAACTTTAAACTGGTATGAATAAATAATCAGTTGTGTAATTAAAGCACTGTTTATTATTAAACCTGATAAAGATCAATGATGTATGTAGATGTTTTATTAGCCTCATATTTTCCACAATATAATAATATAAAACGTGTACATTATATCTTAAGGCCTTTAAGCAATTTCCATTTGTGATAAGAACAGCTATGAATTGTCACGTTTGAGTTTATTCTGTTGCTAACCTAAATGTTTCTCTAGGGACCACAACTTAAATTGAATTCCAGGTCTATACAAAATTAAAAATAAATTTAGACATAATTCATTGTTTATTATTTTTTACTTTTCTAAATTCTGCACTTATCACTATACTATTACATTCTTTTTCCATCTTTACTTGAAAGTTGAAAGTGTAGTTGGTAGTTTTAGGCTATAGTTCAGTAGTATTTTGTTCAATTAAGTTTATAGTATCATTTTACAATACACATGTTACTGTTAAGTTTGATCAGTTGTTGAACTATTTATTAGGGTCATTAAGGATATAATTAAGGATATATTATAGATAGTTTAAAACTTTTGATATTCACCGGTCAACATTGAACAAGTTTTATCCATCAATGTAGGTTATTTTGGGTTACTTAACGGTTACTACAGGATGCACAAGCAGGAACACACATTACATAACAGTAAAGAGTCTATAAATATGCTTTATAGAACCTTCTAATCACTACTTTTTTTCAGCTCCTTCAGGTCATCTTCTAAAGCTGGACTTCCGTGACGAGTTCAACGTGGAGCCCAGTGAAGAGTGTAGGTGAGTAGTTGGAACCTAGGGTGTGTTGCTAGCCTAGTGGTTAACGTCTCTGACTTCTGTGTGAGAGGGACGGGTTCAATTCCCGGCACATCTATGAAACTTTAATTGTTTATACCGATTCACCGTTAAAGGCATTTAAATTGAGTTCACTACAATAATACCACTGGCGTTGAAACAAGAAAAAATCTCTTAATTGGCCAGTTTTTCAAAATTAATATTGTTGTATGGAAACATGTAACATGAACTGCTTCAAAATAAATAACGACAGTAGTATTCAAAACGATAAAAATAAGAGAAGATATAATTTTTACTCAAGAAAATACTGAAAAGGTCCAATTTATTAATGACATATAAATTGTTATAGGTGTTCCATATGTATGAAATACTAAATTTGCATACAAAAGTCAATAAAGTATGATTTAATATGGCATACTGCAGAAACCAGACATGTCCAAAATTGCATATTTCTTATTTTGGAATCTTGAGAATTAGACTCGACTTTTACTGTAACAACCAGACATGTCCCATTACCCATATAGGAGTAGAGTTTTATTGACATTTGCTCTAATTGCAGATAGTAGAAATGTCCGGGACAAGTTTTTGTCCCTCCTGAAAAGTTGGGATTTTGGACATGTATAGTTTCTGCAGTAGGCCATTCAATCATTGAAATTCATCCATATTAAATTTAAATAACAAAATAGCTACAACAGTTGTTTATAGTTATTAAAATCGTAGCTACAAGTAATATCTAAGCACTAGCCAAAGGTTTATCAATCCTTAATGAAAACAACGAAGATTGACGTCAAAGACCTAATGTCTTTTACCATCTCCGAAGGTTTGACTACCTGGAGGTGCGCGATGGCGAGCATGGCTACTCCCCGCTGATTGGCAAATACTGCGGACATCAATTCCCGCCAATGGTGACGTCCACAACCCGCCATCTCTGGCTCAGGTTCAGGTCGGACGAGAACATTGAGTACTCGGGCTTCAGAGCAGTGTACACCTTCATACCACGGCCTGCTGGTGAGTCAGTTACATAACAACTAAACAAATTCTTGCAACATTTATAATATTCATGTATTTTGACACTATGAGAAAGTATAAAAATGCCTGGATTAGATCATGTAAGAATGAATACTGTCATGCATATAAATTCTTCCATTAGATGTTAGATGGTTAAAGCTCACGATACGAAGAAGTAAAAGTAAAAATTAATATGTTATTGGTTGATCCGTAAAGGAAATTCATTGTTCATTAATTAACTGATACATGTAATAATATTGGGTTCACGTCTTACACGTAAGGAACATAGTGGTGTAAGTCAATATTTTGCTCATTTTAAAGTAGGGCCTACAGTAACACCATATTCAGAATGAGAAATATTAAGTCTGCATCGAATCTTAGTGGTTTAAGTCATAACTCTTCCAGTTGCTTCCGGATAACAGCATCTATTTGTTGCCCTCAACAATGCTTCAAACTGTTTATTTCTATAGTAAAGTAAGTTTGACTTACACCACCATGTTTTAAACAGCAACAGCTGATGACTAACGTCGTTGAAATTGCAGCTACTGGATAAGCAAGAATGAAATATTGATTTTTAAAAGAATACATATTACGAAACAGTTAAAATACACAAAGCTGGGTTGAAACTAAGTATATCTTCAACAGGTTTACAAGATTTTATAGAAAAAATAGTTTTACATTCAACTGGTAATCATAGTTTACTTTATGAATTATATTCTTTTTACAGACGAAAAGGAGGTAGAGGTCCCTCCTTGCACAATCACAAAGTCAGGGGTAGAAGGTTACGTGAACAGGTCAGATATCCCTCAAGAGCGTGTGCTCACCTCAGTACAATACAACGTGCCTCTAGACTGTATGTGGGTCATCACAGTGGAACCGGGCTGGAAGGTAAGGTCAACAGTACAGATCATGTTCTGGCCTTAGTTATGTAATGCTTAATCGGTTGAGTGGAACGATTGTTAATTCACTTCACTAAATACATTTAGTTCAGATTTTTCCAAAATCTAGGAGTCACAACTACTTGGAAAACTTAAATTTGTCTGATACTTCTTAATATATCCTTCCTTATATTAAAGATGTATTACCTATCGTGAAAGATAGGGTATTAGATATCCTGAATTCTATCTTCTGGAAGAAACTTGATGAATGTTACGCACTGTTGTTGCGATGGGAAAACGATGATTTCCCAATTATCAAAAGCTGGTACATTACAGTTCCGTGTATTTGGAAAGATGTTTTTTCTAGTTGGTATTTTCATGATCAAAGATCGTTATGGGTAATCAGGAAAAGGTCTTTTGCAATAATCGTCGACAGGATATTACTTTCCAATAACTTAAGTTAATTCTCCTTTGGGTGTTTGTAGAATCACTCACGTTCAAGTGACGTAATTGGTATTTTTCTCACAGATCAGCCTGATATTTCTCAAGTTCGCACTGGAGCGGCCCAACGACTGCGAGAGCAACTTCATGGACGTGTTTCCGGAGCGTACTGACCTTCCCTCCAGATTACACAATTTCTGTGGTTCGATGGCGGAGTTGGTGTATTCGCGCGGGAACGTTCTCCATCTGAGGTTCATGGCGGAGCCTCCAGCGATCAACTCCTCCTTCGAGATACTCTTCACTGCCTTTCGCGACCGGCCGAAGGATGAAAGTAAGATGTGTTGGTTATTGACTTCTAAGGTAGACTGGATTAATGGGTATATTATGATAGAACATATATTTGTAATATTAAAAGCTTCAGTTAAGAAAAACTAATTTTGTCTATGTTTTGGTGTTGGACGCAACCACAAAAAATCATGGGCAGTTGACGTTCTTGTCACGGTTGGTTTAGCAAATACATTTTGGCTTACATACTCGTACGCTACTGAAAAGAAATATATCGATGTGGACGACTCTTTGCCAATTTATAACTTTTTTGTGATCGGGCCAGGACTGAACTTTTTTTCCCCAATACCAAACATCTCAAATGTGTTATTGTACATTATCTATGGGTGTCTAGATAAATTACGGATAGTATTGCAACTAAACCATAACCCTAAATAAAATTGTCTGCACTTTAAAATTTAGCTAAAGGTTTCAATAAGGCACTGTTCATTCCAGGTGAACATTTTGAGGCGTTCACGTCATATAACATTGTCGTGCATGTTAAGCATTTACTCTGTTCACAATTATACTTTCTCTAATAATTCTCTAACGTTGATAAAATGTTTAGATTGCGCAGAAGGAGAGTATGATTGTGAGGATGCAACCTGCATATCAGAAAGCCTGAGGTGCAACGGAAGAGCTAATTGTCGTTTTCGATGGGACGAAGACGATTGTAAGGTAGCCAATTCAAAATAAGCTTATCTTAAAATAAATGTGCTAAACGTGCAGTTACTAAACTAGGAATTAGATATGTAAGTTAATACAACATGCATAATTGCATACATTTTTAATTAGATACATGCTATTTCTGTTAGATAGTTTGCATTTTCAGTTTCAGTTTTACTAAAAAAAAAACAATTTGTAAAATAAGTACAAATATGTTGCTGGTGCATATGGTGAAGACTTTCCTAAAACAAATCAACGTCAACCAGTTTGATTTTTGAAATTTGAATTCACCTTACCTTTAGTTGTGTTATACTTCCAAAGGTTTCACTAATTTTGATTGATGCCTAATATTACACTGTATATACTGTATATTATACTGTATCATATTTTATACGGATTTTCATACATAAACGTTTAAATAATCTAACATGAATAAGAGTATATTTTTTGTGTGAATAAATATATACTGTAACCTTAACAAGACAAGGAAACTTTGTTTCTCGTCCAAAGATTCGAATTGCTTTAGTTTTTGGTTATTACTAAAATATAATTCCTAATTATACACCTAATTATACAATTTGCACCTTTTTCGCAGAGTGAAGTAAATGCTTTGGGAAGACTGTTACAAGAAGAACACATGGTCATCATCCTCATCATATTCTTCATGATTCTTACTGGAATGTGTTCTGCTTTCATTTACAACTGTGCCAGAAAACTCATCAGAGACACACAGATGTTGAAGGTAGGATATCCTGTGTTGGTGCAAGCCTGTTATATCTGAACACATTTAGTAAACGTAGGCCTAGATATTATATCTAAGGTAAGATGATGGCATTACTAACCCTAGCTTTCATGGATTATTTGAGGAAGGTAACGAACACGTTTGTTATACGTTACTGATTTTAAATGGGCAATATTCATAGTAACATGTTTATTTGATTTAAACTGTTCTGACAACGGAAAGTTTTTATCGTTGGCGATAAAGAGGCAGATGGGATTATGTGCATTAACTCATACAAGCAGTCAATCCGTGGAAATTTTGAATGTTTTGAACAATTGTGTTTAATAAACTGTTTAATTGAATAAGTATCGTCTTAATATTTAAAGAATGTAGTTCTATGAAGATGATGTCAAATAACGGCTTGTAAAAAAATTGGTTTAACTGATTGTAATTAGCTTATTCAATAAACAATTTTAATATGTGTTTTCATTAGGGTTTTACTTGATTTTATAGTTGGTCAAGTAAAATTACAGCAGATTGTATTCCCTGTATTAACAAAAAATATGATTGATTGATACCACTAACCTGTTCCAGATTAAATCCAATTTTATACATCAAGAAAAAAAACAAATGTGTATCCTTTTTGTATTCAAAAGCAATTATATCATTTACAGGAACACAAAGAACAAGAGAAAGCGGGAAGAGAAGAAGAAATGTGTCGCAAGATGGCGGCCACCACGATGTTGCCCATCTCCACCATCATGGCGCACAGTGACATCAGCTCTCACAGCAGTGCCTCCACTTCACCAGGCCGCCTGCAAGCGCATGCGCACTCCACGCCAAACCTGCGCGCGCCGCCCTGCCACGTGCCTTCCACGGGCCAGCCTCTGGACGTGACAAAGCTGCAGCACGTCTCTCTAGAGCCAGAGTCCTTCCCACGTACTGAGACTTACGTTCCAGAGGTCACACACACCGAGGTGCAGACGAGAGAGTCGAAATTGAGAGAGATTTTCACATCTGTTGACAGTCTAATGCCTCCTCCTCCCCCTCCCCCTCCTAGAATTCCCACTGTCTTCCTTGAGACTGATCTTGACTTCCACCCGAACTTCCCGTTCCCTCGCACCGTGATCGGTCACAGCCGGAGCGATGAGCATCTCCCAGAGAGGTGCGGCGAGCTCCCCTTGGTGAGACGGATGGCTCCGGATGTGATAGCGGCTCACTGACGAAGGGGACATGCCGAGTGGGAACCCTACAAGAGAAGAGTCCCGCGTCGGCAACTGCACCTGGTCCGTGGAGGGAGCTACACCATAGAGCGCGCCACCCAGTGCACCATGGACACTGATATCAGGTAAGGTCATCGCAACATTTTAAAGCGATACTCGAAATCATAATTTATTTGGTGAATGTCATTCAAATTCCGTAAATAGCACTACAAACAAATTAACCAAATAGATTTGTACAGTAGATATCTCAAAAACACATGTCTTAACTGCACAAATATCTTTCAAAGATTACTTAACGTTAAAATTACCAATAGTTATCACACATACAATTCCTTTTCATAAAGTATCACCTTAATAAGCTATTTTTCTTTAGCTACTCACTGATGCATGAAGAGTAACCCTTACTCATTGTCTTATTAAATCTACCTCACTGCTAATACGTGTATTGGAAATATTTATAAGAATGTAAGAAATGTATCGTTCAGCTAGATAATAAATTTAAAAGAGGTTAATTTATATTTGTATTGTTTCTTACAATCGCTATGATTGAAACTGAAAAACCTATTCAAAGTCAACATTTTGTAGATGAAGACAGCTGTTATCGTCCAGACAGCCCTCCCTACTTCCTTCACTGGCAAATAAGGATCTTCTAGACGTAGGCCGAGACAACTTGTAGCAGGTCCATCCTTTGCACATTAGGTCTATGCTAGGAGGAATTGTACACAATGTAAATATAGAGGTACCTAACTAACTAGATAAATGAACCAGTTAAAACAATAACCAGCCTTATGTTATAAACTTAGAATATCTAAAAAATAAAATGTTAAGTAGAGTGTAACTCTTAAAACGTATGTTTCCGCTTTAACATGATTTATGGCAATAAGTTAAGTTAAATTTTATGGTTTGTGTTAGGTATATAACACTTTAACACATTATTTGTTAATGGAAAATCTATATTTTCATTGTATGTTGAAGAAAACGAATGTTGTTGAAAAAAGACAATATGTTGACATTGTGTTTAGCAAACATCTGAAAACCCTGTTACAAAAATACAAAATAACCAAAATAATTTTGAAAGTGGAGAGGCAACATATTTTCTACTGTATTTGGAAAGTAGTAATATTATTGTACTTTAATTAGGAACAGTACTTCAAGCTTTGATAAAAAAAGGTGAAAAGTCGAATTTTATTATAAAAGCTGTTAAGCCAAGTTTGATGATTTGTTATGGATAACTTATACAGACTAGACCTTTTATCAGGTATATTTTGCTAGTACCGTTCTTAAGATCAAAAGATTTGAATGAAAAATATAATATTTCCAATTTAGTAAATTCTCGGAATGACCTTGAGGTTGGGTCCTTCATATTTTTCAATAAAAATATGATTTTGTTAAACAATGAAAATTCATTAATAGAGTTTATAATCATTAATTTAGTTACATTACCAATACTTTGTTATGTAGATTTTGCATTTCATAATTATGCATTGAAACAAACATATTGCTTTACTACCAAGATTACTTAAGGCAGTATTTTATAAATTCACGGGATTATTTTATGGGAAGCTTAGCTTTTGATCCTTCCTTCACGAGATACTGTGATATATGTTGTAAACATAGCTCTAAAGTTTTTAAAGCCTTAACGTGTGTGTTAAGGAATTTTATAAAACTGTACTAAAAGTTTTAGAATATGCACAACCATTATTAAAACGTGTGCACCCTTTTGTAATGATTCAACCAAGATTCAATGTACAAAATATACGATGTTTAGTATTTGAATAAACTGTTATTTTTGTAAATATATTTGTTTTAATTGTCCTCCATTTCACTTGTTAATTAATTGTGTTTGTGCCTGTAAAATCCCTCATTGTTAGTTTAAAAAAATATTAAAAACCTTAAGTAAAATCTTATACAAGTGTTTAGCCTGTCAACAAAGTAAATTATACTTTCCTACAGTCACCAGACAAAGTGGGCTTCATTGCAGGTTATAATACAGAAAGTGGCTAATTGCTGCTTTTACTTACTTTTGCCAAATTATTTTTCTTGCTGAACACTAGTATTTCATCCAAACAACACAACACAGAGGGAATTTATTAACCACGCAATCCGTGTACGCTTGGAAATAGGTTGGCAACACTTACTACGATCAGCTGGTCCAGCGTTTCCCATTTCGTCCAACGCTTGGATATAAAAACGTGTTGATTGTTTGAAAGACAATTTTTTATATGCTTTATAGTAACTGTAGGAAAAATATGTGTGTAACACGAGTGCAAAGAACCTTCGCGCACTAGTTACACAAATAACTATATCCTTTTGGTCTGCAATACTGTTTTAAAAGACATTTTACAGATATAACTAAATAACATTCGCGTAAAGGGTCTTATAATATTGACTGTATTGAAAATCTACTCCTACCACAAATAATAAATTTATAATTAACAGTGTCTGCTATGTATACACGAAAGTAACGAGAGATGAATTCTTAAATTTTATATCTAAGGACGCTGTTGAAACAATTGTTGAATTTAAATTGTTAAAACTAGGAAGCTTTAACAAATAATATCAATGGATATCATCCATACGTGTACTATCCAAACATTCTACTTGTATAATAACACTATGAATATTAAAATAACTTGCAATACAACAAAAATAAACTCTTTTATAATTATTGATATATTTTTATTTTGCCGTTGAACTATCTTAGGTATTTCTCCTTAGCTTAATCTGGGAAAGCATAAAAATAACAATCTTTAAAACAACAACTCTTGATAATTGGTTGTCTTACTTGACCCTAAATAAACTCTCTGTTTTTACCAACTTATTGATTGTTAACATCAGAGTTAAATGGTTGAGTTAATATTGGGAAATGTATTTATTGAGAGAAAGTTTGATCGAAGCAAACAAGGACCGATATTTTCCTAGATATCAGAGAAAGCTATAAACAGCAGCCTCTTACAGTCTCTGGATAAACTGTGAAATAAACACAATAAAGACCTTAACTTACATCATCTTTCCTTTTTGTGAATCCGTTTTTGTGTAAGATTAAAAATTTCAATCTTACACATCTATTTTAAAACCTCTTTGGAACTTAATTGGAAACATCTTTGAGGAAAAAGAAAAACACAATTTATCTGTGTTGTTGCTGTAGTGAAACAATTGAGCTTCTGTAACAATATTATTCAAAAACTTTCGTTCCATTGAATAATGTGATTCTCCATCAAACAATTGAAATCCGTAAACTCATACTTGTATAAGACAACTTACCACTGCCTACGATATCATTTCTATTTCCCTTCAATTAATAAGTGAACGGCTTAACAACCACACCCTAGAGCCAGTTAATCCCTGCAACATTTGTAATAGATGTTAATTACATAACGTAACATCCATTTGCAGTCTCTGTTTGGATTACATTTAGAATTAATGGATTAAACTGTATTAGTTTCCTTGTTATTACCATCATGAAACGTTTTGTATCCTCACTGAAGCGGATAATTTGGCTACCCACCACTATTTATGACCTTTGAGTAGTGAAATAAAACTGTATAGTAAGCTTCATTCATCACCCTACTTTTAATGAACAATTTCATCATCATTATGTTATTAGGAATAAAACAAAACCAAGAATAAAGAACTAGATGATATTCTTAGAACGAAGATTCTTTCAGTCGTCTTTATAGCTACAAATTCAGGCGAAGAAGAAAGAAAGAAAAGAAACTTAAAGTGTATCTGCAACTCTCTTAGTTTCCGTTTGTCAGTTCTGCTTAGTTCCATTTATTCCTGCTCTTTTTATATCCCTACAAATTCTTTATTTAACACTACTATGATAAATCCACTTTAAAGAGACTTTATACTAAACAGATGTAGTTGGATATAAAGAATGTTTATTTTTTGTTCATTGGAAATGGCGTAACGTTTCTATGACTTAAGGAACATTGTTTTACAGAGTGTTTTTAATGCAGCCAAATTAATTACACCTACCGTGAGATACTTTTTAACGATAAAACCAGCTCATATGTTGGCAGCCCTGCTTTATTTTAAATCTTAACTTTATTACAGATCAGCTAAGCATTGTTGCAAAGAAAACTATGAGGTTTGGCGTTCTTGATAATTTATTGTAAATAAGTCACACCAAGGCATTTGTTTGCAAGTTAAAATACAGTATATATTGTGGTTCTAAGTTTTTAACGGTTTTCTACAGATCCGGTTTCTTTGAATTTAGAAAATTCTATGAAAAGTAGATTTTTAGGTACTGGAATTACACATAGAAACCTAATTTTAAACCTTTCCCGGCATAAAACCAATGATTTTCTTTCAATGTACACTACATACACTTTTAGCTTGCAAAAACACCAAGATGAGTCTTATTCAAAATATAATCCCAATAAACTCAAAGATAACTATGCAAAAATGTATATCAGTGATTGGGAATAAGGTAACTAAAACAGGGATACCAACGTGTAACTCTACTTTGTAATTTGCGTCCAATTTAAATTCTCCAAATTAAAAATCAAACACAGTTTCATCAAAACGGCACTTATTTAATCATATTGAGTGTAAACATGTTTTGTAGCATTATAACAACAAAATAAATTAAATAAATATTAAATTACAAGAAATATACAATAGAAAATATACAATAACCAAAAATATATTTATAATAATGCAGACAATATTTTGTAGATATTAAATTTTGTATCATTGTAGAATATTTATGTTTTACAACATTATACTTCACCGTCATTATCAGCACATTCTAGGTTGCATCTACCATTAGACTTTCCTAATGAAGATAAATATCCTTCCTTGTGGGTTTTACCAGTTTCATTCGTATAATTTTAACTACTGTTGTTTTAATATGAGCAATAATTGAAGACTTACTTACCAATTGACAACCAATGATGATAAATACGTATGTCTAAGCAAACTTTATTCAAAATAGCTTAGTTTCATTATTTTATTTTATTTTTTTACTTTGTCTTCTTAACTATTTTCAATAATATAAAACTGTAGTATGTTTCATACTCGTGTTTTGTCATAATGTACATTTAATATCTAAAACCAAATATCCAATGTAATTTACAAAATTTTAGTATTAATTTTTTTACAAATGATATATCAGTAATTTTAACTTTCATAGTACACATACCACAAGTTTGATACGTTATTAGACCATTCAAAGTGTTTCCCTTATGATAGTAATTATGATTAATCCGTTGGTTCAATTATGCACCCTTCAAATTCAAGTATTTCTGGTTTTGTCAAGTTTAGTCTTATTCTACATACGTTGCATACCTACATAATTTTAGCTGTAACTAATAAACACTATTTGAAGATAAATTTGTTAGCAATTGAAGAGATTTTCGAAAATATATATTCAAGAAATAACATAAAGTAGGATAGCATGGTTTAAAATATGGAACTTGCGATGAATGTATATAAAATATATATTATAATAGCATCGTTATCTTGTCAATGGAGCCTATCCATAGGTTAACACCAACTAAGATTATTACCTAGGAATAAAAAATGCCTTAACATAACAAATAATAGCTTCAAGGTGTGTATCATGACGATTTGAAGATAAATTAAATTAAAAATAACAATACAATATACACCAACCGGAAACGTCAGGAAGTGATCAATGGTATTTTCTTGGCAACAATCCTAACATGGTGAATAGCATTGAATTGATATTTTCTATCTCACTCGTACAATAAATTGTAAATTGTATTCTGTTTTGTAAATTAATCCATGAATAATATTCTGAACCCTTGCTTAGTTAAGTT